AAGGAAAGGAAAGGAAGTCACAGTTCAGCCACCATAACTAGGCCAAGAGAGAGAGATGACATGGCCTCAGCCTAGGCTGTTTTTTTTCTTTTTAAAGGAAGATGAAACAATATGTTTTATGAAATCTCCGGTAGTGTAAAAATTAAGTTTGGGGAAAGCAGGAATGCTTGAGAGAGGAAGAACCGTTGAAGCTGAACTGGAAGTGGAACAGCTGTACTGGGAACGGGGAGGCAGAAAAATCTCACCTGGCCCAAGGCTGCTGAACTGAAGCGCCCAGAGCTTTTCGGGATCAGCCAGGCTGAAATTTACAGGCATTGGGGGGGGGGGGGGGGGGATGTTAATAGTTTGAGGTGCGCAGATTCTTTGCTCCTGTAGCAGAGAAGGAGAAGGAGAAGAGAAGAAGGGAAGAGGAGGAAAGGAGGAGGAAAGAAGGAAGAAGAGGACGACAAGGGGAGGGGGAGCAGGAGGAGAAGGAGAGGAGGAAAAGAGAAAGGGAGGAGGAGGAGGAAAGCCTGCGAATTGGGTTGAAGAACTGGGGTTCCTATCCAACAGTGAGCAAGAACTGATCTGCCATTCCAGCTTAGTAACTTTAGAGAAGACACACTTGGTCAGCAAGGCTCAAATGTGCTACAAAAACCTGCCTACTGGGTAAGGCGGGGAGGGGCTGTCTTCAGAGGGAGAGAGCAGCTGGGCAAAGGGCCTGGTCTACTCCCCCTGCTAGGGAAAAAACCTCTCCCCGAAAAAGAAGATAACTTAAAATACGTTAAAACGAGGAAGGGAATGCGGCCTTCTGGGGTGTGTGGCCATGCTCCACCTGGCTCCTGAAAAACCCAGCTCTCTCCTCGCCGGGAACCAAGGAGGAAGGCCTGGAAGTTGGACTCTGTTCTGAAATACTCATATATTTGTTTTAAAAATAAAATAATAATAATAATAATAAAGAGGGTCGTGGTTAGCACACCCGAGGGAGGAGAGAATATACAACACAATAAAGGAGGAAGGAAGATACTGGTCCCAGCTACCCCATCGCTGCTCGACCTGGCAGCTTGAACGGGGGTGGACTTCAACTCCCAGAATCCCCTCCCCCAGCCAGCACGCTTTAAGGTGGGGTGGACTTCAAGACCCATGGCTGGCTAGGGAATTCTGGGAGTTGAAGTCCACCCCTCTTAAAACCCGGCTAGGATGAGCAACGCAGCACTAACGTCCCATATAATTGGGGGGGGAGGGGGGGTGTCTGCCGCAGGGCCCTCCCCCGCCTCGTCCCAAATGCCCTCCCAACGGGAGGGGGGGGGGGGGAGACAGCCTCATTTTCGGGCCGAAGGAACCGCAGCGAAGGGAAAGGCAGGGTGGGCGGTCTTCGGCTGTGGGCTCAAGGCGAGAGCGGCCATCGCCCGCTCTCTGGCCAGGGCCGGCTTCGCAAAAAAAGTGGCAGTGTCCAAGTGTCCGTCACGGCTCAGGAAGGACGAGGAGGAAGGGGAAAGGGGAGTCCGAGCCCCCCCCCCCCCCCCTCCCTCAGGCGAAGAAGACCACGAAGATGATGAAGAAGACGATCAGGATGAGGAAGATCTTCACCATCAGCCACCGGTTGGAGGAGACCGACTGGAAGTACTTCAGGATCTCCATGTGGGCGCCCTCCACGTTCAGCTGGGTGTCCTCCACGTTGGCGTCGATTCTACATTTAGGGGCAGGATTGCAGGGGGGAAAAAATTGAGGAATGGGCTTCCTTAGAAGAAGCCCCCCCCCCACCCACTTGCCTTAAGCTACCTAGAAGGAAAGTCCCAACTTTCTGGTTATCCTTTTGAAGATGTTTTGCTTCTCACCCAAGAAGCTTCTTCAGCTCTGACTGGATGGTGGAGGATGGAAGGATTGATACTCCTTGCAGACAAGCTGGTCGTTTGCATCCTTTTTAGAGGGCAGTTGAGGCCACTTGGAGGTTTGTCTGAGTCCTCAGGGTCACACCTGAGGGGTGCAAATGGGTGTGGAGCCTTCTTGGGACTGTTGAAAGGATGGGTGGGTTTATACTCCTTGCAGACAGCTCGTCATTTGCATTCTTTGAGAGGGTCCTTGAGACTCCTTGGCCCCTCTCTCAATAGAGTGGGAGGGATACGACACCGTCTCTATCTCCAGTCTACAATAATGATCCTTTCAACGGTTCCCCAAAGGCTCCACCCCCCATTTGCACCACTCAGCTGACCCCGAGGACAGAGACAGGCCTCCCAAGTGGCCTCAACGACCCTCTAAAAGGATGCAAATGACCAGCTCTGTCTGTAAGGAATATCAATCCTTCCCTTCCCCACCATCCAGTCAGAGCTGAAGCAGCTGCTTGGATGAGAAGCGAAAACATCTTCAAAAGAAAAAAAACAAGAAAAGTCCAGTTGCCTCTTGGAAAAAAAAAAAAAACACCACACCTTTGGGAACAACTGTGACCTTGGATGACTGAGAATCTCCATCAACATAAAAGGGGGGAAAAAAAATAGAGTTTTTAAAGGGGCTCCCATGTTGGTTGATGGTTGACTGCTATGTGCTTGGTTTTAAAGTTTTTAACAGCATATAGAACTTGGCTGTATGGTACGATGGGCAGCCAATACATTTTATAAATGAATAAACATGTTTGACATGTTCCCTTTACGACTGACCGCAGGGACGCTGCAGAAGCATCCCCTCAGCCTCTCCCCCCCCCGCCACCAATCCCAGCCCCCATAAGCTCAGGATGGGTCTCCTCCCCATCCTATCACCCGTTGCACGCTTAACCTTTTGAAGATCTCTGGGCCTCATGTCGGGAAAGGGCATTTCTGGGCACTTCTATCGCACCACTTCTATCGCAGCCTGCTTGTCTGTTTTAATAGCTGCATCCAGGACGGGTGGGGCAGGGGGGGTCATTTCAGCAAAGCCAAATTTCCACTGCTGGGCGAGGCGGTCGTTAAGTCGAGGACTATTGTCCATCCATCACAGGTGGGGGCTACTAAGCGTTGCAGCCAATTCAGCCCAACATAAACCAACTCTCTTAAGGTTGTGGCTGCTTAACAAGCCACTGTGGGTGAGCGAGCCACAGCTTGCTTAGAGGAGCCAGCTGGGGGGCCTCTAACCTCTGGATTGTCTCTTCCTGTTCTTTGACCATGTGTGCCAGTTGTTGAAATATGGAGCCCAGCTCTACGATGGTTGATTCGATGTTCTGCATGGTGTCCGCCCGGCTCTGGATGTACGAATCCTGCCAAAAAAAAAAAAAGAGGGAAAAGTAAAGTTGGTGGGTTTTTTATTTTTTAAAGCTTAATAGCTCTTTC